GCCATCAGCTGATCGGCGGTAGGGGGGGAGAGGGGAGCTTGCCTGCCCTGCAGCAGCAGCCGCCGCCGGCAGTGGGACCAAGCTTCTTCAACCTGCCCCCGCGTGGAGAGGCAGAGAAGAGTGGGCCATGAAAAATCCTGCCGGGGCGGGCAGGATTTTTCATGGCACGCTGCTGCCTGCCGGGATCCCGGCCTGGGTTCGGCAGCGGGCCCTGAGCGGGGCCGGCGGCTGGGACCCGGCAGGCAGCAGTGTGCCATTAAAAATTGGCTGGCGTGCCATGTTTGGCACGCATGCCATAGGTTGCCGACCCTTGCTCTAATCAAAGCTGATCGAAAGGCTATATTTCCAAACGAGCTATGCTCCTAAGCCATGCTCTGGCCACTACGTGCAAAGTGGTCCTAAAACAGTCCTGTCCAACCTTGGAGGGTCTCTTGAATGGTGGACTCTCAGGAAGAATATAGATACCGTGGTGGCTCCTACCTACCTCCCTGCCATCAGAGAAAAGAGGTCGTGGTCAGAGTGTCCGTACATCCTGTAGAGAACTGACTGTTATAATAGCAGCCTTAAGGCCGCTTCAAATTTGTGTCAGGCACTGGGCTTCTGCAGAGCACATCCGGGATTAGAGGAAGACAAAGGCCACTCCTACTTCTAAGTTGTGCCCGATGCCTTCCAACCACAGCTAAGGACCTTGGGTCCCATGGCGCTGTGCCCAGCTGTGCTTTGCAAACAATGAGCTGAAAGTTCTTAATCACCAGTGGCTTTAGTATTTGATGTGTTTGGCCTGGGAACGTAGGAATTGCCATAGCAAGTCTGGCCCAGGGGGTCTGTGTAATCCAGTGTCATGTCTTTGACAGTGGACAGCACCAGTTCCTTCTGGAGGAAGGTACAGAAATCCCTGTAATGAACAATTTTGGAATAACCTGTCATCAAGGGAAGTTTCTTACTTACTCTGGAAAGTTAGTATTTGGCTAATGACCTAAAGCATGATGGTTTCTGTATCCCGTATATTTTAACATTTTTAGTGTACTCTGTATGTTCTCATTAATCAGATAAATGTTTAATCTTTTTTTAATCCTGGTGAACTTTTGACTTCACTGATGTTGTTTTGTGGCATGGGGTTACACAAATTAATTATGTTTTGTATATGCAAGGCAGCATTTGACTCTGCAATGTTCTTATGATCCTTCATTGCTCTTTGCTCTCTGGTATTCCTATAGCCACAAATATTCTAACAGAAATTAAATATATCAGAAGTGAGGAAGCAGGACTGCAAGAAAGTAAAGAAAATTGAGGAGTAGAGACACTGTGATATACCCAAGATCAAACAGCAAATGGGCTCCAGAAAGCCAGGAACAGAACCAAGTCTCCTCACTTCCATTTCCATGCCCTGGCCACCAGATCATCCTGATATCCAGTAACTCAAATTCACATCCCAACACTGCCAATTCAAGCCTTTTGGAACAATGTTTGCACTGTATGTCAAAATGCATAGGAGCCAGTTACACAGGAGTGCATGCATTCCTGTATCTGGACAAGTGGCTGATCAATGACAGCACTTCAAAAAGGATTTCAAAGATAAGTCATATCAGCATTGAGGTGCTGAAATCACTAACTTTCTTATACTACTCAGATCCCCAAGTTGTTTTGCTGATACTAGAATATATAGGAGTCCTGCTAGCCATTGTTTAGATGAAATCCTTGTTGTTTAAGAGTCAGACACTGTAGAATTCATGGTCAGAATAAAAGAGGCATGAGAGGCCTCAGGAAGTCATGTAGTTTTATATAGGGTTGGAATGGTTTATCTTTAGATTTACTTTAAAAGACCTTTTAAAGTGCATTTTTTCTTTTGTTTTTTTTAAAATACAAATTGTACTTCATTAGCACTCAGAGAAACCAATCAATGAATACAGATATTGTCTGCTGTAACATAAACTGAATTTCTGAAGCTTTGTATGAATATTTTAGTTCCTCTGTAGTATTAATCAGTTTATTCTTTCCCTTCATTCTGTTTCACTCAAAACAAAACAGAATTCTCCCTCCACCTGTCACAAGAGGAAGGTTTGTCACTTTTCATTGCCTTTTGCTTCATTTGTTTAATAAAGAATTGATTGCTCTTTGTACTGTAACTTTATTTGTGTAAGCCATTTCTTACATGCTCATCATAACATAAATTATTGCTTTTATTGTAATTCCCTGATAGTCTGTGGCCAGGTACTTAAAGTGTATATGTTCTTTTTCCACTTCTTATAGATATAGAAGGATACGGTACCTTATGGAATTACACTGTATTCTCATTTCACCTTGCAAAGCAGTCAGTAAATCACACCAACAAATTTCTGTGTTTTAGTCAAAACCATTATTCATTAAAAATTAACTAGAGGTGATTGTGATGGGTTGGACCCCTTGGAAGCCACCTGATGTGCTGAGGTACCACTGAGTCTACCTGTTCTGCTAACATGGGCCCTCCTTTAACCTGTCTTGCTGAGCCAGGCTCTTAAAACCTCCTCTAACACACACACAGGCAGGGCCACTCCCAGCTGCAGATGAGCTCCAGGAGGACTCGGCTTCAGGAACTTGCTCCAACACTCAGATGTCCACCTCCCTTGGAGTGCAGATCCAAAGATATATCATGAAATTTGCCCCTTCCCTCAATATGGAGAGAGGTGCACACTTCTTACCCCCCACACACACACCCGTTAATAATTACAGAAACTGGGTTTAATAATAAAACAATTTTTTTTAACTGTAAAAGGCAGATTTTGAGTGGTAAAAGGGATAACAAACAGAACAAAGAAGACTACTAAGCAAATGAAATCAAACACGCAAACTAAGCTAGTTTTACTAAAGAAATTGGTTACAGTTAGTATTTCTCACCCTAGATATTGTTGCAGGCAGTTTGCAAAGTTTCTGTGGTTTAGAGTTCCAGTTATATTCCTTTTCAGACTAGACCCTTGTTTCAGTCTGGACTCCCCCCGCCTTCCCTTTCGCAGTCTTTCTTCTTGGGCAGATAGGCCACGGAGAGGAGAAGTACTGTTAGCCTTCCTTCCCACCCTTAAATAGGATTTACATGAGGCAGGAATCCTTTGTGTCCCAAACGTGACCTCCCTTCCCTTACATTGGAAAGTTACAAGAAGTCTCAGGTAATGTTTTAGTATCAGGAGACAAGACCACCTGACTCTGTAGGATCACCGCGTCCATGAGTCAGTGGCAGTATGAAGCGTCCACAGGAAGGCCAAGCTTTTCACAGTCTATCGTCCTCGCTGATGGGCCATCTGCCCTGTCTGGCTTTTCCATTGTTGTACCTGTAGTGTTAGCAGTGGGTGTCACCCAAAGTAGCATAGTTGAAATACAGATATATAGTTAATATTGCTAACTTCAGATACAGAAAGGTTACAGGCATACAAATTGAATAATCACATTCAGTAAATCATAACCTTTCCAATGATATCTCACATGAGCCATCTTGCATAAAGTATATTTCAGTTATGTCATATTCATATCATAAGTATATTTTTATAAAGGATATGGAATAGCACATCAGTGATGCTTTGATTTTATGCTCCCCAACCTATCAAAGTTTATCTCTATGCTAATCTTCAAAATCAAAAGTCTACATATTCTTTCTGGTGGCATACAAAATCTCTCTCTTTTTTAGTGAAACCATAATTTCAAATTGCTACAATACAAGTGACAAAATATGGTGCAATGTAGATGCATTGTCATGCAAAGAGTATTTTGATTTGATCATGTGCTATAATATTCTTTGTTCACTTATGATTGATTCTACCTGTATAATTTCGATAATGCTCTGGTACCCATTGTAAAGAATGCTCTATAAGTCTTCATGTTCCATTTGTTTGAACCTTTTGATTTTATCCTTATAGCGTAAAGAAGAATTCTTTGTTTTAAAGAAACTGTCTTGTTTTTTTCTGCTTGCGCTTTAAAGAAAATATTTTAATTCACTACAGCAACAGGAGATCTGGTGTACTACTGAATGTAGTTCAGTTCCTGCATACTTGTCGTCTTACACAGATAGTATCATAAGACAAGTAATGACAGATTAAGACCTGCCTAGCAGAGGGAAAACTAAATTACAAGACTTTTATTAAGGCATAAATAAACCTATTAACCGTTATCTGGAATACCAATTAGTAGAAGGAGCACTGACAATTTTATTTATCAACATTAAACACAATTATTAATTACAGACCTGACGAATCTAGCAGTAAGCAGGACATGTTGGGTGTGCTGGGGCCTTAAGTCCATTATATGAGAAGGATGATTACCAAAATCCTGTGGGAAAATAAGTAATTGTAGCTGTAAAATTTTAATTGCCTTGGAATAAGGTAAATTATATTCTCTTGTCTCAGAATATAAATAGTATGGCATTAAGGTACCAAGCCTCACTAGTTTTAAACAGCAAATTATTTAGACAACTATGCTGGAAAAAAAGAAGAAAAACAGTTATAAATTTGCATTTTAAATATTGCAATAAAGTGATTTACCTTCTGCTGTCAAATGTGTGAACACATACAAAGATATTTGTCATACAGTATATAGTTTGCGTCCATCAGAAACGTTTGCATTTTATTAATCCAAAGGTTGGACTATACAAGAAAAAGGACTTAAAATACAGTATGGGAGGAGAACACAGAATTATTTGGTAAATTATATATTAACAAAAGAATTATTTTTATTGGGTCAAATTCTGCCCTCCTGTTTATTGTACATGTAGCTCCAGTGGTAGTCAGTAGAAGCAGCGTGTTCTATCTGAAGGTAGAATTTGGCCCAGATTCTCTACTTGGGGAGGGCTCCTTTTGATTGGAATAGGAGCATTGGCTGGGTAAGGACTTCAGGATCAAGCCCAGTGAGTTCAGTCTTCCTCTCTTCGTTCAGTGGCAACATTCCCAACAATCTTATTCAGACATATGTCTGTTTTTGTAAAATGAGAATAAGAAAGAACCTACTTTTTAAATCTGTATTTCTTTTTTTTCTTTAAGATCCAAATTCCTGGCTTTGTGGACACTTCCTCATAAGTGCCGCCCGGAATTCTTTTTCAAAACTCATGGACAAACTTAATGTATTAATGGAGACTATAGCAGTGGATTGCAGCAGGACCATCACATATGCAGAGAAGGACTCCTTGGTTCACAGACTGGCTCGTGGACTTCATAAAATAAATGCACAGGCACTAAAATCTGGACTAGGTGATAGAATACCCATTACAGTATGTATATTTCTTGCTGATTTATATATATATAAAATTCTACAGAATAATTATAGTAGAGCTTTCAAAATAGTTATGATGCTAATTTCATTTTCAGGTTGTGCTTCACAGCTGACTTTTAATTTAATCACCATTTAATTTTGTATACAAGTTAGTTTACACCTGAAAAGATTGGGCCCTGAATCAGTTACGTCTTTTAATATGGTATTAAAGAATTGCAAGGCAAGAGATTTGCTTGTATTAAGCTTGAAATAATTTTTCTCTTCTAAATTCTGTCAAAATTTAAGTTTCTTCATAAGAACATCCTGTAACCCCTTTTGAAGTTAAGATTAATGATTTTGTTCAATTTTTTTTTTTCACCTTCTCTTCTTCCAGTGTACTTTGGTAATGCAAAATACATGTTGTTTTTGCAAAAACTCAGTTAAACTTCTTCTCTCCAAATATCTACTCTATGCATGTATTTAGGAATTTTTCAATGACCCACAACAGCAGGTGAAACAGTGCTCTTTGTGTGCGTTGGTGGATGTGTGCAGAATGAAAACTTCATTTAATTTGCTTGGGTATTAAATGCTATTGATTTATTGCTAAAATAGCACATTTTATAGCACATAAAATTGTTTCCGTTTACTAACAGAAAAGCATAGCATCCTTGCAGACGCAAATATTTGAATTTACACAAAGGCTGCATACAGCAGAAGTGGAACGCCGTTCACTACGCTTAGAACTCTCAGAATTCAAACGGAATTTGAATGAGATGAAAAAAGAGGCTGACAAAGCCCAGAGCCTGCAAGAGCAATTAAATGCATTTAAGCAATCTGTAAGTATATTTAATTTAGAAAAGACTGGCTTAAAGGAAAGCCTCCTTCTACATGTTTTTGATTTGTGTTCTTTAGAAAAATAAGTATAAATCCAATTATTAACAGAATTTTCCAGAAAACTTGCCCCGTGAATGTCACCAAGCTGCAAGCCAGATGTATTAAAAGGTGACTCTTTTCCATAGGAGTTTCTCTTTATTTTGCAGAATGAGATATTGTGGGTGAATTACACTTTTGCTCTTTGACAGACCCAGTTTTTCTTTCATATGCTGAAAATGTTCTTTTCTGATTTACACACCATAAAGGACTTATATATGTTCCCTCAAATAGGGCAGTCAGGCATATTTAATAAGTACATTCATGACAACATTGCACAGCATAAACACAATATTTTAAGCTCTGTTTTACCCTTGCTCCATATTCTGACGCACCTCTTTACTGTATCTTTTGTTATGGGTCAAGTCCTGAAGCTAGTTTGTGTCAATAAGTGCAATCTTGAAAATAGTTTCTCTTGTGGATTTATGCAGATGATTTTAAACACATCCCCAGCAGCCTGTATTTGGCAAACCCTCTCTCTGTGCTTCTTCCTGGAGCCATTGGATTTACTACAGCCGTAAGGCTGCGTTGATCACTGTACAGCTACAGTTGATAGAGATGAAAGGAAGGGACTAAAAACAGGTCCCTTTATCTTTTTAAAAAAAACCCAAACTCTCTTGCACCGGATCAATGGAATTACTTCAAGGGCTGTATCCTCCATTGTCTCTTGACTGTGCAGGGAGTGGAGGTTTTTTTCAGACTGATGCGTCCTCATTGCAGATCAGAAGCTGTTCTCCATTGTATCCGTGTGACAGACCCTCCAGAGCTGTCAGGGAGTAATTCATTCTCCTCTAGGAGGTTGGAGATGCACTGGGCATCTTCACTGCCTCCCCTAACAAAATGCTGAGCTCATTTCTGTAGGGAGCGTTCAGATCAAGTCAATCTTCACCCAGGAAAAGGGACTGAACAGTCATACAAGTGCTCTGCAGCTTCTCTGGTGTGTGTAGAAACATCCTCTTTTTGGGATGTGTAGTAGCTTCCACAAATTGTGATGGATTTGTTTTCTGAGGACTCATCGACACCTAACAACCATGTGCACCAGAGGGGTATGATTTCTTAAGCACACCAACATGTCGTGCACTAACTGGGCCGTGTGGACCCTGCTGTCGTGAACTAAAAGTTCCCTATTGTGTATTAATGTAGTGCTGCATCAAACAGTGGAGATACAGAACACTTTGATCTGCTAACTTAATTTTCCCACATCAAGGGTCTGTCCATTGTGCTTACTGTCTCCAGCAGGTAGAACAGCTGAACAAGGGTATCTCATGTCTTCAGTTTTATTTTTAACAAGCTTTTTTCCCTTACACTTTCTTAAATTGTCAGATTACATTGTCACTTTTTAGATTGTCAGTTAAGTGCTATCCCTCAGGAGACACTTCCTTTCTTTGTCTTCTGGAGCGCTCTGTGAGAAGCAGGTCCACACAGGAATTTGTAAGGGTTTAACAGGCTGTGTACTGAAAAGCAGAAATACTCATCTGCAAATTCCCTACTTTAGTAAACACTACTTTTTTTTTAAACAATTGAGATATGTCCTCTTGGATCTGTTTTGGAATCAAGAAAAAATTTTCAGTATACTTTGTAAATACACTACAGATTTCCTTGAGAAAATACAACAAATAAAGTAATTTAACATTAATGTTTTGCAATGATCTTCACTTTAGGAAAAAAGGTCTCTTGGGCAGATATTGAGTATTTAAAAACTTTTTGCATTAGAAAGTTGTGTCTTAGCAAGTGGAATTCTAAAAGTGAAGTGTATAAACATTGGAGTTATTCCATGATAGAACACAATTTATTTCCTTTATCAGAAATTGATCACCCATGAGAGGTTTGAAAGTGCATGTGAAGAACTGAATAATGCATTACATCGAGAGCAGGAAGCACAAATGCTTTTGAATGAGCAGTCACAGCAGTTACAGGAGTTAAATTATAAACTGGAATTGCACTCAAGTGAAGAAGCGGACAAAAACCAAACCCTAAGTGAAGCTGTAAAGGTAGGACAATATTGCTTCTAAATAGAGAACAGAAGTTGTTTCCCTCTCAAGTGCATGGGCCCACATTGGCAGCCCTCACAAGTACTCTCAGAATAATCCCATGGAAGTAAATCGGACTGTTTGCAGGAATAAGGATTTCTCTGTCCAATGAGAGTTGAGGGTGATCAGGAGATACTTATTACCTTTTACGATGAGGTCTTGTAAGGTGTAGCGTCCATTTTTAATATTGGGAGTGGCATACGTGCACTGGAAAATATCACTATTTATATGTTGTTAGGATTAGGATTTAGAAGCTGTCCCTTTCATAAGGGATAACAAGGAGGAAAGGAAATGCAGTGAACGTCAAGACTACAATTTTGTCAAAATGAAGGAGTGGAAAGGAATATGATCAGAAATCAGAATAATTAATAGATTAAAGCCAGAAAAGACCATTTTGATGATCTAATCTGATCACCTGCATATCACAAACCATAACCTTTCTCCAAATAATTCCCGCATCAAGCCCAATAGCTTGTGGTCAAACTAGATCATATTTTTTAGAATGGGATCCATTCTTGATTTAAATGTGACGGAGAATTTACCACTTCCATATATTGTATGTAGGCTAGAATGGAGCTGAACAGGTATTTTAAGGTAAGGGTGTGACGCTTAAACTTGATGTGAACTAGTAAGAGCCAGTAGAGGTATTTAGAGAAGTGTCATAATCTATAATTTTTGCAATTACATTTTGGATAAGCCAAAAGGTAGCAGATCATGGACAACTATTATACCTTAAGGTCAGAAAGAAAGGGTTGGTTCTTCAATACATTGTGGAGAATGAAGTGGCACAATGTTGCAAATGTGAGTGGTAGGGAAAATAGGGGTGTCACTTGTAACTGAGTGATGAAATGGGAAAGGATAACAGAGCTCAGTGTTGGATATGTTAATCTTGCCAGCAGACTAGCCAGGATATTTTGCAGAGATGGTTAGGTTTTTAAAACTGATAAAAGAAGATGGGTAAGGTATTAAGATATAGATTTGAGAGTCATTGGCATAATGAGTGTGTGATTAACCATGAAATTGATCAGTGATAAGGTGAAAAGGAGGGGGCCAACAACAGAGAATTGTGAGAATCCAACAGAGCGGGGAAGAAGATGAACTGTGAAAGAAGAGAAGTCAAGAGGTTGGAAGAAAACCAAGAATATAGGCTACAAAAACCAATAGAATACAGGGCACCAACGAGAGAGTAATCAACAATATCAGAGTATTAAAGGGGTCAAGGAGGATGAAGATGGAACAGAGGGCATAAGCTTTTGGTCAGAAAGAAGTCAGTGGAGTGGAGTGGAAAGTGAAGAGGATTTATTGGATTATAGCCTGAAGTGAGTTAGAAGAAAATAAGTTAAAGGCACTTTAAATATCATATTGTAAACAAATTTCTTTACTTCTACGTTACTAAAAACACATTAGATTATTAAAGGAGAAATTGAAAATTTCAGTTGAAAAGTGGACATTGAAAATTCCAATTTGTTTGATACTATTTACTTGGTCTGCACTTGGTCTAGACAATGAAAATTAGTGAAGTGTATTCTCTCTTCTGTTTAGTCACCTTCACTTTCAGATTTTTAGTGCTGCAGTATTTTTGTTTCAAACACAGCAGGGGTATGTTTTATACTGTTTTCACTGGATTTTTTATATATTTATATTCTCTATGAAAACCCTTCTGTTGCTCTTGGGCTTTATAAAGGCTTTAAAAAAAATTGGACCAAATATAAATAGATAATGTCATTTAAAGCAGCAGTTCTAAATGGCCTAGTCAAGAGCTTAGAGGTGAAAGAGGGGAATGGAGATGGTAGTTAGGGAGAGGTGTGAGGTCAAGAATGTGGGGTTTTCTTTAGAATGGTGGATGCTAGGGAAGGGGCCAAAAGAGAAGTAGTAGTTCACAGTAGGAGATAGTAACTATTATAATTTGAAGTCTTCATCGGAATTAGTTGCAAGTTGCCTTTATATACTCCTACATGTAACCAAACTTAATAGATAACTCCCTAGCTTTTTATAGTAAGAAAGCAATTAAAATGTCTCTTTCTAAGATCTGTTTGTTCACTACAATGGAGGATTTTGTTTTCTAGTCTTCAGAAATGAAGATGAACCTTTCCTTTAGAATAATGTATTATATTAGTTGGAGGATACCACTTCTTATTTTCGAGCTTGTTTTTTTTATTGAACAAAAAGTCATATAGCCCTTTCCACTGTAGTATACCTTATTGTCATAATTTTGCGGTTTACACCTCCAACAGTTGTTGGCTATTGGGATATTATGGTTTATTCTGGCTAGATTGCATAAATGTAATCCACTGGAACAGGCTGAGATTTTACCCTCTCATGATAGGGTGAAATCCAAGAATGTGGAGGAAATAGATATTCGAAAGATTGCATGCCACATTTCACATTTGTATTAATAGTTCACTTGTCTTTTGAGAAACTATGCAGAAAATAGAATGGACAACATCCTCAAATCTGACAGTGTTGATATTTTCTTTGGTTTGTTTGGCCCAAGGACAACTACAGCGCTCAAAACTCATCCATTGATAACTTTTTTGAAGGGAATACGGCCAACTAGGTGCTCAGCCTTGACTATTTAGTCCTTTTTAGTTTTGGCTACTGAGATTATTTTAGAACCACTGAAGGAAGAGAATTTTTTAAAAATCAACAAAGTAGTGGGGTAGCATACATGTTAATGTTCACCAGTCTTTTCTTAACCTCTGGCTTTGTTTGAATCTATAAAATATTATATTTTATTTACAAATCATCCTCTACTCTACCCCTTGCTCTTTTCTTTCCTATTGCTTTCACTCCTCTTCAGATTATTGTTGTTCTGAAAGTCAATAAAACAATCCAAATAATAACTGCAAATTTAAATATTTCTTGGATTTGGGGAGTAAGAATTTTTCATGCAGGATGATACAGGACTATTGCGGTAACAAGTGATTGAAATATTTTGTATTAAGAACTCATGTTACTTTTCAGATTTTTAAAAATTATATAACTATTTTGTTTATCACAAGGTTTTTTTGCTAGTTGCCTGAATCCTACATCTATTCAGGATTAATGTCAAAGGCAGAAAAATAATTTGTACTTGTGTCCCACATATTTTAACTGGCAGGTAGTCTCTTCTTCAGCTGTTTAGATTCAGACAGTGCCTTTTTTGTGAGCTGCAAGATCATTCTTTTCATTAAAGATATATAACTGAAGAATCATGTCCCGTCACACTCTCTAAATCATTTATAAATGAACCCAACACAAAAGCATGTACAAAATTAGAGAGTAGCACATTGTATAAAAAGTGAGCTGTAGCTCACGAAAGCTTATGCTCAAATAAATTGGTTAAGGTGCCACAAGTCCTCCTTTTCTTTTTACGTTTTAAGATGAATTTTTAACTGAATTTGACAAAGGAATGATCTTGATGAAATTTTAACAGCTGAAGCTGTTAAAATAGTAAAATAGTACACAATTTTACAATAGTAAAATAGTACGCATTGAAATCTTTTTAAAAAACATGATTACCTTAAAATATCAATTTGTCATAATTTTCTAACAAAAAGAATAAAACGAAGAAATTGTTCAGCAATTTGAAATTTGATTCCCTGGTTTGAAATTTATACACACTTCAGTAGTAATCAGTAAGGAGATATCTCAGCTTTCACCTACTTTCATAAAGTAGGTTTATTAAAGAGGTGTTGCTTAATTTCTTAGCCTTATCAATTTAGATTTTAATCCCATATATTTTTATCTTCTTAATGGCATTTACCACTGAGACACACATGGTAGCCAATTACATTTCAAGGTCAGATAGGACTAAGCAACAATTCTAATGAAACAAGTGGTGTAAGATTAGGTAAGTTACTAGCTCTGATCCCAACTGTCTGTGTAGGAAAAGAAAGAGTTTTTGTGCTTGCTAACCAGGTATCTAAAGCACAAAGTAAAGAATTTTACTTATGCTAAAACCATGTGTTCATTCCAAACAGTAAAATCCTCATTTTACCTACCTACAGGCACTATATATATATATCCAATTCATTTTAGAGATGCATGTTAATACTATAAAATATAATTAAAGAATTTTACTACACAGTAATTTATGAAAGGATTCCTTGTAAATTGATAATGAACAGGGCAATATCTTGCATACATCTTTTGTTCTGAGTGTGCCATGTTGTGTCCTGTAACTTATTACTGACCTAGTCCAAAAGCATTAAACAATATTTGAAGGGGAATAACTTTTGGGGCTAGATTCTGATCTCATTTACACTGTCATTAACACTGAGTGGCTCTGTTGAGTTCAGTGAAGTTACTCTTGATTTATAGCTGTGCGAGAGCAGAGTTCAGTCCTGGAGTTTTGAGAATGTATTTACTGTAGCAGTCCCTTCTAGATCGGAGTTGAGATGAGCCGTTCGGTTTTTTAGATAGCCATAACTATACCCTCCTTTTAAACAGTGTAGTGTTCTTTAACTAAATTGAAACATATAGAGCTGAATTTACATCTGCTGGAGAGGAAATTGCAGGTACCTTGTGCCATTGGAATTGTACCCGTTCCCTGGCAGGCTCTCTGCTGCTGGAGTCCTTTAGTGGTACACACCTTACAGTGAACCTTTGTTGCTTAGGTTGGATGGTTTTGTTGTTTTGTACTAATAGTGTAAATGTTTTAATTAGAAAATTATTTTAATTATTTGTTTTATGTTATTTGCATTGTTGCACGGACTTTGAGAATGCCAAGTCGTTTTGATACATGGCAAAGGCAGTTTCTGTAGATGATAGTGTTTTAACTTTTACAGAGGGGAAAAAAAAAGTCACCCATCATATTCAATGGGAGACTTTGTATACGACAGCCTCCTCAAAGAGAATCACTAAGGATACACTCACTATAAAAACAGAAAATTAATTTTTTGAGTTTTTGTTTTTTAATCACTTCCCATGAGCTTTGTTACTGGAGTGACAGTCAAGCTTTAGGATGTTCTCTGGGATGC